ATGATAACTTTCATCATCTTCATTCCGATCATCATCATCATCACCTTCATACCATTTAACATGCTACTATTATTATTCACCATTCCCTCTATTATACCATCCTGAATACTGAATTTTTGCTGAACTTTTCCTTTCCTTAGCTGATAATATATTAATTCACAGTCTACTCAGATATATATATATTTGTATACTCTTAGTTTCTGAGCATCGTAATGATTTCATCATGATGATTATCAATTGATTATTGGTAAATGTTTTATTCAAATTGATTGAATTAACATCATTGGAAAGGTATCACCATCATCATCATCATTATTCAGGCATCTCAACATATTATTATCATGTAAATGATTTTGAGTTCAATGGTTCATGAGATTATTATTATCACAATGATGTTAAAAGAAAACAAAAAGTTGAAATTGATTAAAAACAAAAGTTTTTGTTTCTCTATTTTTCTTATATTTTTTTAGCCTTACTTTATGCAACTATCTTTGGTCATGTAACGACAATTATACAACAAATGACCTCAGCAACTGCCCGTTATCATGATATGCTGAACAATGTCCGGGAATTTATGAAACTTCATGAAGTGCCCAAAGCCCTAAGTGAAAGGGTAATGGATTATGTTGTCTCAACTTGGGCCATGTCAAAGGGTATTGATACCAAGAAGGTATTAAGCTATTGTCCTAAAGATATGACAGCCGATATTTGTGTCCACCTTAATCGAAAGGTATTCAATGAACATCCCGCTTTCAGATTAGCTTCTGATGGTTGCCTTAGGGCATTGGCAATGTACTTTTCAATGGATCACTCGGCTCCTGGTGATTTACTTTACCATTCAGGTGAATCAATTGATACTCTTTGTTTTGTTGTATCGGGCTCTCTTGAGGTGATACAAGATGATGAAGTGGTCGCCATATTGGGTAAAGGTGATGTGTTTGGTGATGCTTTTTGGAAAGAGCCAACAATTGGTCAATCTTGTGCCAATGTCCGAGCTTTAACTTATTGTGATTTACACGCAATTAAACGAGACAAATTACTCGAAGTGCTCAACTTTTATCATTCATTTGCAAACTCATTTGCTCGCAATTTAATGTTAACATATAATTTAAGACATCGGGTAAGTAGACTATCATCATAAATAAATAAAAAAGTTAATTAGTCATCTTTTAATCAACAAAAAAACATCATTAGCAATCAAAACAACGATCATACTCATGATAATTTTTTTACCAAAAAACATTTGTTTATCTTTGCCAATCAAGGATAAATAATAATATAAACAGATAAAAAACCCTACGATAATCAAGTTAATTGTAATGATTATCACTTTTATCCTATTATCATGATTATCATTACAATTATTATATTGTTGCCATTATCATGTGTATATAAGATTAAACTTGAATGATAAAAATGATGACATTATTATGGTGATGATATTATTTCGTAATATGGATAATGTTACACTCAGAGGGAAGATAAAAACTGTTGACCATCCCTAAGGTCATTAGAAACAATTGTCAGGTCACTTTTGGCTTCTTCTTGTGTAGTTAAGGTTCATTACATTTCTTTAACTCTTCATTTACCTTTCATCATCTTTCCGCTTCTAATCGATCAACAAGATTATCTTCCCACTCCCACTTCCCTCCACAGAATAATACTTGATAAATATTATACTTTTCTCTCTCTCTCTCTCTCTCTGTCTTCCTTTTCGAGGCCAAAGAAGATAAGTTCTATGTCAAATACACTTCAAACTCTTTCTCATTAGATCCTCCACTTAGAAATCCACCCGCTCTCTCTTATATCACCTTCGACATTCACCTTAATCTTGATACTCGATAACTTTAATCTCATTTAAAGATGGACGATTAACTATCGTACAGAAAGTACAATATGATTAAGATTAGATTTTCAATACTAATAACCGTTAATTAGTTAATTTAATCAAGTTTATAAGTGGATTTGTTTTCGTCTTTATTGAGCAAGTTAATCAATGATAAAAAGTGTACTTAACAATCAGATTAGTAATATTTAAGGTTAATTGATGAGATTATCATAATCTAATCACTATGATAATCATCATTGTGCATTAACTACTAACAAATGATTTGATTGTCATCAATAATTTTAACCCAAAATCAATGGTATTGATTAATTTTATTGATTAAAATTGTTTCAGGTTACATATTATTTTTTGTCTTAGATTCAAATGATTTCTGTTTATATCAATACCAATTTAGTGATTTAAATTGTCTCAAGATTTAGTAAATTGTTATTGATGTTTTGATTATTAGAAAATGACGATTTTTTCAAATGCATTTAATTAATTAATTGTTTTCATTTTTTTCTCTATGTTTTTTAGTTGATTTTCCGTAAAGTGGCTGATGTTAAACGTGAAATGGAGCTTGCCGAGCGTCGTAAACACGACCCACAACCTGATCTTGCTCAAGATCATTTAGTTCGTAAAATATTTTCCAAATTTCGAAAACCTTCCGATACAAGTTCAGTTCCAATGTTTTCCCGACCTTCATCAAGTAATCCAGTTACTCTTCCCAATACTGCAAACTCCTTGGGCTCAAATGATCCAGAGAAAGGTTTTCCACCAAGTGGAGTGGGAAGTTTATCGGAAAAGACTGGAGGTGGAACTGGTAGTGCAAGTACAACCGGTGCGATTTTCGGTGGTTCTGTCGGTGGTATTGGCAGTAGTATTGGTGGCCGTGAGTTAGGAAGTCTTCATTCAGAAATTAGCAATAAGACAATAGGTGATAATATGCCCGATTCAAGAGGATCATCAGCTGCATCTAAGGCTTCCCGATGGGCAGCGGCTTTGGCGAACGCTGCAACCAATAATAATAACTCAATTAACACCGCTCTTGGTGCTCTGGATAAAGAGTATGATGATAACAATATGGGCGGACGTCGAACTGAACTGGTCTGTAAGAAATCTGAACATATTCACGTGGTCAAAGATATACGTCCACCTACACAGGGTAATAAATGGCCTCGAATACCAACCTCTTCTGGTCGACCTGAAACCATTGAAGAAGGAAGAGAACCTGAAACAACGGGTCCACTTACGGGAACAACAATGGCCGCCACGGGAACTGGTGGTGGACTTGGACTTTTAGCGGCCGCCGTAGCAGCAAGTAAAAGTGGCATCGGAGCTCATGACACCCTATCAGAGGGCGGTAAAGGTGTTGGTAGTGGAGGTGGAGGAGGTGATACCAAGATTGTCCTTCACCCGAAGAGTATCAATAATGTTGACTATCAGCAAATTGTTGCATCACTTATCGATATGAGAGTTGATCTTAAACTGGAAATTCAAAAATTATCCTCACGAGTTAATAAAATTGATGATCATCTATCGTAAGTACTTTAATTAACTAATTAACTCTTTAATTAACTCTAGTCAATAATTCAGTTTGAAAGTATTATCAGAAGTTTAAATCCTTAATATCATTTATAATCATGATACTGGGAACATGATAAATCAGATTATGATTAAAAATTAATTCAGTTCGAAAGAGTAAAAAAAAAACTTTTTTCTTGTTCGATCAAAAAAAAATTGCTCGAACTTTTTTTCTTCTCTATCAAATTCTTGATAATTTATCAACTTTTTTTCCACTTTTTCTCTCATCATCATGTTCATGATTAAATCCAGTGAATTAAGTGAAAAAGTCTCCTCCCTGTCCTCTGCTTATCAAAGCAATTCGGCCTCACCCAATCCGTTAACAGCCAATCAACCAGAATTCATGCTCTCCCCTGTTCCAATTAATGGAGGTAAAGGTAAATCAGCTGATGAGAGTAAAGGAAGTGGAGTAAAGAAAAGTCAAAGCGATAAAGGAATTGGCTTAAGTAGAGGTAAAGATTCTGGTCAAGGTAAAAGTTCAAGGTCATTGAAATCATCTTTTCTAAATAAAGTCAGTGGTGGACCTAGAAGTCCATCACCAAGTCCACTAACACCACTTTCCACCAAAGGAAACAGTTCCATAATCGGAAGTGGAACCACAACAACCTTTTTCGGACCAGGAACTGGACCTTCTCATGAGCCGGTCACAAGTTCACCTCTTCCCACCGCGACAACTCCCATTCCCACCTCAACCATAATTCAACCTCAAGGTTCACAATTAAATCAATCACAAGTTAAATCATCTATATCTTCATTCACAATTAGTGGTGGTGGTAAAGTAGATGAAGTGAGAGCCATGATGGAATCAGAAATTGCTGAACAAGATGCTGGAGCAACTGATGAAGATCCTGATTTAACATCTAAATTATGATTGGGAATAAATGTTAATTTAAACAATTAACATAAGATTGACAATCCATCCAAAGAAAAAGCGTAAAAAAATCAACTACCCTTCAATTGTATCATAATTAAATCAATCAACCAATTGAGATGGATAATTGTAACTAATTGATATTATATTACAAAAAAAATAATCGGATCAAATTGTTATAATTGTAAAAAAGAGCAAATTTTACCACTGATCATCACAATTAACTACTATGCCTGTTACAATCAATTATCATTGGAAATTGATCTCATCATCAACATAAAAGTTATTATCATCAATCTAACTCCCGATCTTAATTAAGTTTTACTTTTTTTAATAGTAATTAACTTTTTCCATTCCAATCAACTTTATTTCTCTCAATTGATTATGAGAATTAAATTAACTCGAAGGAAGAAAAAACAATTTATGAGTAAAAGGACCAAGGATCATATTCAGATCATTTTCATAGTCAGAACTTTTTTTTGCTTCTCCATTAAGATGATGATAATCACCATGAAACTGATCATCATCTTAATCTTCATCATCATCATTTATCATCCTTATAATCATCTCTTCCCTAAATCAGGTTGACCTGGCTCACCCTAATTGCCTAAAATCAAAATGCAAACAACAATTGGCCAACAATTAAAATAACAAATAGTTAATTGTTCATCTCTTTGTATTAATATTTACCCAACAGATTATGGACAGAGATACAATTAACACTCAACAAACAACAATAACAACAACAATTAAACAATTAAACAACCGTATTAATAAATGTACATGAACATTGAATCAAAATCTCAATCGAAAATCTTAATTGTAACTTGTTAATTAACATTCCTAAACAGAAAGCACTTATTTAAAGCACTTTATTATATATGAAAAATTCACGAACTTGAAAACAACAATTAATTAACTATTTCCTCTTCCCACCTTTAAGTGAGACCAAATTACCAAGTTGATTATTATTATTAATACAATTACCATGATTATCATCAGCATCATTAACCATTATCATCTCTAATTAAATTGAATTATTGTCTATTAACGGTGATGATAATATAACATTCCCCTGATAAATTGACAAGCACAATAATTTGTTGTTACTCTAATAAAGAAAAATATAAGAAAATTATTTTGACAAAAAAAAAAGTTCCAATTTCAAATTCATTTCAACTTCTCACAATCTGATTTCCATGAACGAAAAATATTCACCAACAGAACTATGAACATTATCATTATGCTGAATCATAATTATCAAAACAATTCAAATTCAAAGTCTTCAAGTTAAATATAACTTCTTGATTCCTTATAATTCACACCCAGAACTTTTTTATCCCTGATGATTATCATGATTATCACTTTAATTAAGATTCTTATTTTTGAAAAAAAAACAAAAGTTCTTGATCCAAATTCATATCTGTCCAACTTTTTCATATACTTCAACTGACCACACCCTTTTCAGAATGATATTTAATGGTCATCATGATAATTGGTCAATATATTGAACTTTTTTTTAAAACATGATGATTGAGTGTTTATATTGATTGTTATCGTTAATTGTGTCCATTGTATCTCGTTGATTGAAAATCATTGGTAATTAACCATTATGAGTTTGGTGATTTAAGGATTTCCATGCTAATTAACTGGTTATTGTTCATTGAATCAATAATTTAGATAAATTGTTTACTAATTTCCTTTGATTAGATTTAATCATCTTAATGATTTATACATAAAATGGCAATTTAGTTGATCTAATTTTGTTTTTCATCATCTTGTTCATATTTTTTTTGTCTGATCTTTACAAAACAATAAAAATAAATCACTTCAATTATTATTAATCAGTTACATTATTATAATATATTGGAAACTGAATCAAGTTGATTATCATAATTGTATGCTAATGACATGAAATCTTTATATTATTATGATAACAATCAAAGTTACTTGATGATCATTATGAATGATGAGTGATAATTGAAACATGACAATTTCATGCATATGGATGCTCACTATTAATATATCAAAGTAATCATTATTAATGGATAACAATCAATTTAAATTGATTCGGTTGATTGTCAATGATTCAGTTTCTCCAATTGATTATATTTAATTTCCCCGATGAGAATGTAACACCTTAAGGGCAGTTAAGAGTAACAATTTATGATGATTAAGTTTATTGGTGTTGATTATAATCATTCATCAATCGTAGTTTAATATGATTAATGATTGATTCAATTTCTTGGTAAATAAATCCACTAATCAAACTAATTGCATTGATTGAATTGTGATCAGTATTTGGTTGTTAATCCAAAGTTAATTCTGGTTTCATCTGTAAGATGAGCTTTAATTGTTGTTGATCAACTGTCGACGAAATTGGGTGAACAATTAATTAATTACCTAAAAAATTGACGAAATAATTTTTTCATCATCTCAATAAAATGTGATTACTCTAATTATGATAACCTTAATTGTTATTAAAGTAATTACTTTTATCAACTGATTGTTCAATCAAATCTAGTTCTAGACGAGAGTAACAATTAAAATCCCAGGTAACAACAATTAACTTTGTCTAACTAAATTTTTGTTTTTGGATATTCACTTGATAATAAATGAAACTATCTAATTGTTATTGATAAATTGTAAGATTGATTCAGATACGAAAAGTTATTAAATCAATAACAATTAGCTTACGATCTTATTAATCACAATTGTCTTGGTAACTAAATTGTTGACGTTTTCGTGTTGATATTTTTTTTACCTTTTGATTTCGTTATAACATTTGATTACTTTGATCAAAGTTATAATAATTAGTAACAATTAGTTGTAATCATACAAATATATCAATAGTTATTAGAAGGTTAATTATAATTAACGATTACAATGATTTACTAAATCATTTCTATGATTCTGGAGGAAAAAATCAAGTGGGAAAAAATGATTCCAAGTTTATATATGAAATTAATCTAATTTAACCAATTTATTGACAATTAACTTTTCAATGCAACAATAATAATCAACTAATTGTCACAGTAAACTTAATGTTTCCCATTTGATTGAATGGTTTAATTTTTTCCACTAATTTCCAAGCTATTAAAATGTCTCCTTCGGGCTTATTGTTATCCTTAATTGTTGCTCTCTATTTAGTTTTCTTGGTTGTAACTCCAATCTCGTCGAGTTCAATTGCTAAATTATTAGCGGAGAAAATAAATTCAACGGTTAATTGTCCAAAAGGGACTAATTGTTCATCATTCTTAGATTGTAAAACTGTATTAACGGCTCATAATGAGAAAGATTTGATTGAAAATGTTTGTTTCAATTCAGGTCAAATTGGAATATGTTGTCCAATTGTTTTGGATAATTGTGGTAAGAATTTGACTAATTATACTAATTAATTGCCTTGGATGTTAATTGTCACCATTGTTTTTTGTTTACGTGTAGTTGAGAAAAGTTCTGGATCAAAATCAGTGTTGACTATCTCACCGTCAATGGATGATGATCATGAGGAATTATTGAAATCACCTAAGCTTTTGGGTGGAAAAATTTCTCGTAAAGATTTTGATTCAATTATCGAAGAAGCAAAATTAAAAAGTGAACAAATTGTTTCGAATATTAAAAAGATAGCCAATCATCATCAACAACGCAAGAAAACTCGATTAACCCGAGATACTGGAATTAAAGGTCAAAGTCGAGAGGAAGTTTACCAACGAAATCTGGGAATTGTACCAAATATTAGTGACGATGCTCTTTACCTCCAACAATTAACTCTTTCGATGGCGAAAAAGTAAGTTCTAATTCTTATCATGTTCTCAAATGGTTCATGTTAGTTAATTGTTTCAATTAAATTCTCAGACTTGGATTAACCAAACCAAAGCAAATTGCAACTCTAAAATCAATTCAAATCATTGAGCCCGATAAATGTACCGTTAACATCACTTGTAATCCTTATAGTAAATATCGTCCTATTGATGGTTCGTGTAACAATATCGATAATCCTTATTGGGGTAAAGTTCTAACCCCTTATAGCCGAGTGATTTTACCTCAATATGGTGATGCCATTGATGCACCTAAACTGTTTGGTGCCTCAGGTAATGAACTACCATGGGCTCGTCTTTTGTCAACCACTTTGATTAAAGATAAACCAATGGAACATCATAATTTGGATACTATGGCTCTCGCTTATGGGCAATTCCTTGATCATGATTTAACTCAGGTAGTTGGAACTACACTTCCCGATGGAGGAGCAATTACTTGTTGTGATTCGAAAACAAATAAAATTCTATCAGCTGAATTTCTTCATCCATCTTGTTTTCCAATAATGATTCCACTTGATGATCCATTTTATTCTAAATATTCAGTTGAGTGTTTGAACTTTGCTCGAACTGCATTTGGTTTACCTGAGAATTGTGTTCTTGGTCCTCGAACTCAGATTAACAATTTAACTCCTTGGCTCGATGGGTCAATTATCTACGGGGCATCATTTGAAGCTTCAGATAAACTTAGAGCGGGCAAAGGAGGCTTAATGGACTCTCGAGTTTCAGCCGCTGGTGAAATTTTACCTCCACAAGGGGATATGTGTAATAACGACACTTATTGTTTGGGTGGAGGTGATTCTCGAGTTAATCAGCAACCGGGATTAATGGCGACTCATATAACATGGTTAAGAGAGCACAATAGAATCGCCAGTAAATTAGCTCAATTGAATCCTCATTGGAACGATGAAGATATTTTCCAAGAGACAAGAAGAATCGTCATCGCTGAATTTCAGCATGTTACTTACAATGAATTCTTACCTTTAATTATTGGTAAGTTTTTCGATAACTTCTCTGTTTTTTTTCCTCATTAGCTGCTAATTGTTTTGCTTCTAATTGATTAGGTTCAAATCTAATGAAAAAGTATGACCTTTATCCTCGTCGTTCGGGTTTCAATGAGTTTTATGATGCTACACTTTCTCCAGCAATTATCCAGGAATTTGCTTCGGCAGCATTTAGATTACACACATTGATCCCAGAAAAGATTGAATTAAAGGACAACAATTTAAGTGTTACTCGAATTGTCCCTCTGAAAACTCAATTTTATAATCCATCGGTTTTTTATGAGAAACCGACTGTTTATCAATCGGTAATCAATGGACTTTTAAGTCAACCAACCTGTCCAGCGGATAATATTATCACCGAAGCGATAACCAATTACCTTTTCCCTCCGGGAACTCATGGATCAGATGAGCCTTGGGGATTTGATTTGTTCAGTATTGATATTCAAAGGGGTCGTGATCATGGACTTGCGAGTTATAATGAATGGAGGGAAACTTGTGGCTTTAAGAGAGCGGCTAATTTTACCGATCTGAGCGATTACTTTTTCGCTGAAAGTTTACCTCTTGTTGAATCTTTATACTCTTCCGTTGATGATATTGATCTTGTTGTCGGCTTGAATTTGGAACCTCGTCCATCAGGAATGAATGTTGGACCCACAGCGGCTTGTATAATAACCGAAACATTTAGAAGACTCAAATTTTCTGATCGCTTTTGGTATGAGAATTCAGGTCAACCTTCATCGTTCACTTTGGGTAAGTAACGATAATATTAATCGTAAAACTAAAAATTCATCGAGTTTAACTTTTCATTTTTTTTTCTTTTAATTTTCTCTCAACAATCAGATCAATTAACTTCTATTAGGAATGTAACTTATGCTCGAATTCATTGTGACAATAATAATATTGAACAAAGTCAATCAATGGCACTAATCCAACCCTCAGATCTTAATCCTCGTTTACCTTGTTCACAATTATCTCCCAGTGTTGATTTAGATTATTGGAAAGATGAACCACTTGGAAACAATGGAGTCTCTCTCATGTAATAATCTAGACCAACATAATTATACAATTAAAATGATCCAAATCGTTTAAATGGTTAATCATTTCCGAGACGAATATTTGATACACATAAACTTTTTTCTAACAAAAAGTTTCATCAAAACAAAAAAAAACCGATCAATCGATAAAAAGACGAGAAAATGAAGCAAACCAGAAGAATGAAAATAAACAAAAGAAAAAGTTCTAATGTTCGAATGTGCAAGTTCTTTTATCTTCGAATTTGATCCTAAAAAAATAGATGAGAAAACCCATAGATGTCGTCACCGAATTGTCGATGACGACATATCGATCTTTTTGTCTTCCAGTTTCGAGAAACTTGTTGCGACTGAGTTTTCTTTTCATTTCTCTCTCCAAGTTGAAGGTTTATTAATTTTCGAATACTCAAATTCAGTTGGAAGCATTGGATTGTCATCGATTGTTCAAAATAAATTCGATGAAAATTAGAACCCAAAAAATGTCATTTCCATTGAGCGGAAATAAAAAGAGCGCGAAATGAAACAAAGAGACAAACTGAAGGTTCGTTTTGATTTTCGTAAACAGATGGCGCTCGATGTTTTCTCTTATCATTGAGAATCTAAATTCTGAACCGGGAAACTTTAAGAGAGATTGAAAAAAAAACCGGGAATTTGTTTTTCTCGAGAAGATAATTGAAAAAAATATCTAATCTTCTTGTGAGCTTTTATTTGTACAAAAATAATTAGTGAAACAAGAAACGAAAAATAAATGAAAACTAAACTGGAGTAAATAAAAAAAATTATCTCTATGAGATTAAAAAAGATTAATGGACTTGAGGAAAAGCGATCAGAGTTAAAGTGGAAATAAAAAACAAACTTACTACAAACAATTTACTACACTACTTTAAATTGTCCAAATAAACTAAAAAACAAATAATAAAATTGATTAACTTTTATCAGAAAAAAAAAACTGATCAGCTAAATCAAAATGATTAATTATGAACTGTTGTTATTTCAACGAGTCAGTTGTCTTAATGATCATCATCAAAATTCACCTTAAACTTGGGTAATGGTTAAAGTTAACCGAAAACAATGGATTTTCCAATCAACAGCCATTTAATTGGCAACAGATTATCACTGATTAGTGGGAACAATTAAGGGAATAAAATTGGCGCTTTGTTTACATAAAGAACGAGGAAAGTTTCCATTCTCCAACAAGAGATGGCGTTAGTTTCGAATATCTTGAGATCAGATATTTTCTAATTGAGTCTCTTATTTTAAATTCTGGTTGTTGGCTTGTTGAATTAATCTTAATTGTAATTCTATTGATATTTGTTTAATTGTCTCCATTTTGTGTCTCTCTTTTTGATTAACATCCCAATTTACCGTTGAATTGATAATCTGTCTCTCTCTCAATCATTTCACTTTCTATCTTGTGACCATTTTGTTAGTTTCTCAACCTTCTTTTGTTTCTTGACTCTCTTTCACACTCCCTCTCTTTCTCTCTCTCTCTTTCCTTTCCTTACCTTTTCTTTTTGTCTTAATTTTTTTTAATTATTATTCCATCACCATTACTATCAAAACAGTAACATCTTCTAGCAATATGAGTGACACAGAGGAAACTAAAAAAACCGCGGCTCCTGAAGAAGAAGAGGAGGAGTATATTGTGGAGAAAATATTGGACAAAAGGACGCGCGGTGGAAGAGTTGAATATTTCTTAAAATGGAAAGGTTACTCGGAAAGTGATAACACGTGGGAACCGGTGGAAAATCTTGACTGTCCTGATTTGATCAGTGAATTTGAAGAAGACAGGAAAAGAAAAAAGAATGAGAAAAAAGGAGGCTCAGGAGGAACCGGTGGATCTGTTGCTGGGGATGATAAGAAAAGAAAATCAGCTTCAGTTGATGGTGATAAGAAAAAGAAAAAAGCTGATGAAGATAAACCTCGAGGATGGGATCGTGGTCTTGAACCTCAAAAGATCATTGGTGCAACTGATGCTTCAGGAGAGCTCATGTTCTTAATTAAATGGTTAGTTGTCTCATGCCTTGCATATTACTTAGGCAAATTACTGTGGGCTTAGGCCCTTTACCTGTTTCTGTCCATCATTCTTGCCTTTTATAGAGCACTAATGTCACACATTCTTGTTTGCGAAAAAGAAAAATATTATATTATATCTTTCTTTTTTTTGTTCCTCTACTTATCCCAGTAATTACTCATGCTAAATAAATTGTTGACTTATGAGTCACCCTCAGCATTAATCCTTGCAATCTAATTAAGCCTAATTTCGCTTTTTTCTCTCTCTCTCTCCTTCTCCTTCTCTTCTCTTTTCTATTCTATTTTCACCCTTAACAGGAAGGATTCTGAAGATGCCGATCTCGTCACTGCAGCGACAGCGAACGTTAGATGTCCACAAGTTGTGATCAAATTTTATGAAGAGCGTTTAACATGGCACACAGCTAATAACGATGAAAAGGCCGAAAAAGATTAAAGGACAAATAAAAAAATGGATTCAAGAGAAAACAAATTCATTTCCATTTATCATTCTCTCTAAATTTTCAATTGTTTTTCCCCCAATTTTCCCTCCTTTTCTCTTCTCAACCTTTTCTCATCCTCATCCCAGTTTATATTTTTCTTTTCATCAACTCACAAACACACACATTCAACACTTAAGACCTCATCAGTTATTAAACATTAAAACCAATGATTATTGAATTTTCTTTTTAAAAATTGTTCTCCATCGGATTCATATCATATTCTAGTAAACGGTTTTAATTGAGAAAACAAATTCTTCCATTTTGCTCATGTTCGCAATTAAAATGGTAACCAATCAATAAGAACATTTAAATTATAGCACAAGCAAGAAATAGATGAATTTATTAATTGTTTAGTTAACATATTAAAGGTTTACAGACAATTGGTTCTCGATTTACATCGAAATAAAATGATTTTTCCTTTATGATGCAACATTTTAGTGGATTTTAAATTTTAAGTGTTGGTGTTTTCGCTTTGTGATTATTAGCTTAGAGTTTTTTTTGAATATATATTTTTGGTGCTCTTTGGAAACAAAAGGTCTAAAAATCGTTTTTTTGTTGTTGTCGGTGTTTAATTTACGAGGAAAGTGTGTCAGCTTATCAATCAACTCGAGTGTTGATTTGTGTTGGTACTGTTACTATTATTAGTATTAGTGTTGGTTGAAGTTGTTGTGTTGGTGGTATTGTTGTCCTTTGATTTAACCATTGTCATCCGAACTTCACCCAACACTTGAAGTGGTGTTTTACCTGTAGCTTGAGCAACTCTGTGTTCGATCAAATAAAATATATATTCGTCAAAAAGCAATCGAATCAAATGGAATGATCCAAATGAGGAGGCAGAACGAAGAGTAAGATCTCTCATAACCAGGGAGCTGTAAAATCCCCATTTAAAAAAGAATTGAGTCGCAGAACGAACATCATTATCTCGAAGGCATGTATCTAAAACTTGTTCGCACCATAATCCCCATCGGTCAAATGGGTTTGGTTCTTGTAAAAGAATTTTAAAACTTTGTTCTATCTGGTCAACAATTGAATCATCACATTGACAGACCCACGATGCCTGTTCTTGGACATTTTTAAAGTCAACACGGTTCAGGTCACTGATCATTTGTTGTATTTGTTGTTGGTTTTGTAAAACTGCTTGGGCTGCAGAGGAGAGATGATTCAATGAGGTATATCGACGTAAAGTATGGCTGAAAGCTCCGACAGCGGCTAATTTCGAGGTGACAAATGAACCATCATAACCGACAAGCGCTGTGCCCATCCAATTGTGTATATTTTTGGCAAAGTTGCGAATCTGTTGGGTCAATTGTTGAGGAATAGGTTTCAATAGATTGGGAAGTAATAATGCTGAAATAAGTGAATTGTACAGTGTATAGTCTGTTTGCAATATCCATTCGCTGAGAGAGGCAAGAGGTTCTTGGTCATTTTCAGCTTCGATACCGGGACTAGATGTAAGCTGATGTAATTGTTCCAATGTTAATCCAGGCGTCTTATTGTTCTTGTTGTTGGTGTTGATTGTGGTACTATTGTTGCTCTCATTTTCACTGTTACTACCTGCTCCCTTTGATGATGATCCATCAGCCTGCCAGAATGATTTCCATAATCCCTCGATAAGAGTGAAGTTTAAATTTCCAATCGCATTGATCACTTGTTCATAGTGTTTCCTATAAGCAGCAGCAAATCGGGTTGCTAGAGCACTTGGTGTTTCTGCATCATTACAAGGAACAGGCTCTTCCGGCCAAACATTGGCTAAGATTGACTTAGGATCTCCTAGGTAACTTTGTAACAATTCTGGGGATGTTGCTGTTAAGGTTGCCTGGTGATTTTCATTTGTTGTCACAACATTGTTATCCTTGATTGACTCTGTTCCACCACCACTACCACCATTACCATTACCTCCACCACCACCCCCGCTACTACTGTTACCTCCATCAGAATGAACTGTTTTATGACGTTTAGCAGATGGTTGACCAGAATCTGGACTGCTCACTGAACTACTATCGGTGATACGCGCCAATGGAGATCCTGGTTTAACTCTGATACCATAATAATGATACTTTGAGTTTCCTCTTGTACCTAAACGTCTAGTCCTTAAACCAACAAAAACCGATCGAATAAGTTTACCAAATGAAGCTGCATTTACAGGCTCAATTCCTTGTTGTGAACAATGGGTTTGATAATGAGAGTAAAGTGTAGATCGAGGTAGTGAAATACCCTCAGCAGTTTCATAGTTTTCTATAAGCCATCTAACCTGTATTTTACAGAGAAAAAATAGTAATTAATAGAAAAAGACATTAAAACTAATTAAACAGAGACAGAGAGGAGGGAGTCTCAGATTAGAGAGCAAGACAAGGGAAGAAGATAGAGAAAAAAGATAATGAAAAAAAGGGACACACAGTCAAATATATAATGTAGCATATAAACAGTCACAATCACTAACATTGATTAAAAGAGATAAGAAAATAAATAAACAGGGTAGGTCGGTCATAGGTAATAATAGATGAAAGAAGAGAACTATTATAATAGATATGGAGAAAAGTTGAGGCAAAGAAATGAACAAACCAATGGGAGAACTGTGAGAACGGGACACACAGAAAATGATAAACAAGAGAATATAAGAAGATGGCAGAACATAAGAAGGAGAAGAAAAATGGGACAAAAGTGAAATTTGAAAGGGAAAAAAAGAGAACAAGAAGAAACCAGAATTTGAAGAGAATGAAAATTTGAAATCCTAAATCTGCGAAAAGAGAATAGGAATTAAATTGGAAACTTACATGAACAATATCCGTATCACGAACATTTTGAATTTGAAAATTGGATGGAGCAGTAACTGTACCAATAGGAGCTGATGAAACAACAGCAATTCCACCAGAATTTGTCTCGGTATCACCTCCAGTATTGGCACCAGTAACTTGTGAATAGATGACCGTTGAATTATTATCAAAACAGGTAATCGAAGTATATGGATCAGTAGTATAATAGATTGTAGTTAAATTGTTATCCTCTTCGTCCGGATTTTTTTTGAATGTGTCTTGGGGGTCGATCATCCTTGTTGCCTGATTACCGAAGACAACCAAGACAACGTTTTGGTTACCAAACTCAGGGTTGTTTTCTTGTTGCTAACCAACTAAAATTCACTTTTCTCTTCAGCTTGGAAACAGAAATTGGAGCCTTTCAGCCTTGAGGAGAACCGAATTTTCGCCGCCAGTGGCTCCATCTCCGAGTCGAAAACTGTACCAACTCTTTGGGAACAATTTTCGTTTTTGAGAATCAAAATTGTTTTCGTTTTTTTGTTGTTCCATAATTTTGCTTTCTAATTGTTGACAATTTAATCTCAATTACTTTGAGAGAAACCAATTGATTTTATTTTTATTCTTCGTCTTAATTTTGTTCCTGGTTATCTGTTGGTTTGATTTTCGTTTTGGATGATAATCTGTTAATTCTTGCATGACGCATGTTAGTCAATTTTTTTATTCTCTGTGAATGTAAACAAATCTGATGATTTCAATCTTCTTTTTTTATGGTTAATATTATTATTATTTTGGAACTTTGATTGTTTGGTTTTCGTCTCTTTACCTTTCGATTATATTTTATTAGCAATTTAATTTTCACTTGTTGGGGTTGAATTGAATCGATTGTGATTTTATGTTTCGTTCATTTGTTGGTCCAGAGAATCAACAATTTGTATGATTTTTCTGATTTTTGATCAGATGGTTTTAATTGATGTTATTGTTGATTTAATTCAGCTTGATTGTTACCTTGTCCGGCTCTGTTTCAATTATCAAAGGTAATCTTGATCATAATAAGTGATTTGATTCGGGGTAAGTTGATTTTTGTTTCTCTATCATGTTTACTTGGTAAATTATGGGATATAAAAAATATGATTTTTTCTTCTCTAATTATCATCTTGTTGATTTATTTTTTTATTTACCTTTTGTTTTTTTTTGTTTCCTGTTGTTTACAGATTCACATTTACTGTCAATAATTGATTGGATAGATTGTTAATTAATCTACACCATATCGAGATTGAGATATGGCTTCGATTGACAGATTTCAAACCTTGGAAGGTCACACATCGGATGTTACATGGGTTGACTTTAATGGGAATAAAATTGTCGTCTCATCATCTAATGACAAATCCATTAGATTCTGGAAATGTAAAGATGATGGATATTTCGAAGAGTGTACAGAATCCCCATTAAAATCACCTTTAAATGGTCACAATTATGGAGTAAATTGTGTACGATTTTCACCTTTCGGTACAATTTTGGCCTCAGTTTCAACGGATGGTTATCTCATCCTATGGAATTCACAGGTAACAATAGAATCATTGATCATTTAATACTACATGTAATTCATATTATTTAGATGTAAAAATTATCGCTTAATCTTTTTTAATCCTCATAGACTGGTGATCAAGTTGTTCGGCTTCTTAATCCAACCAATTGTGCAATAAGAGTTTGCTGTTTCTCACCTTCTTCAGCTATCTTGGTGACCGCTGGTGATGATGAAAAGATCTGCCTTTGGGATATTAGTACTCGATCTTTGGTAAGATCATTAACCGGACATGAAGCAATGGTCACTACTTGTGCCTTTTCACCCGATTCAGCTTACCTGATTTCTGGTGCAACCTCAGGTGAATTAAAAATGTGGGATGCACGTCATGGTCATGGTAAATGTTTATTAACTATTTCGGAAGCTCATGATTTGGGTGTAGTCTCATCTGATTTCAATCCTCAGTACGAGGTTAACGGTGAGTCCGTGGAAGGTATTGATTTTATTTGCACATTTACCTTTGTAGATACTTCACTCTCTCTCTCTCTCTCTCTCTCTCCCTATCCAATTAATGCCATTAACCATTAGTTTTTTAAACTTTAATCTTATTCTCATAATGCAAATTGATCCAAAATAACTAATTCAAAGTACAATAACTAATATAAAACTCAAAACACGTACAAACAAAATAGTCCTTGGAACTTTAGGAAATATGTAATTTTTATCAATCGATTTCTCATCTTACCCATTAATTGTCACTAATGTTGAATGTTATCATCATTATAACATTTAAATTACAATTTTCTCCCCTTCTCACCTCCTTTTCCCCTTTAATCAATATCAAAAACTGAAAAGAAATCAATTAATCAATCAATCAAAAATTTCTCTTCAATCATTAACACAACAAAACTATCAATTGACTAGTGAAAAAAAAGAAATCAATATTTTATTTTCACAGAATTTTCTCAATTATTTTCTAAACAATTCAAATAGAAAGATAGGAAATCTAATTGATTATTGATCGATTTCTATTAAATAGGCGAAATTTTAATTGCTACTAATCAGGCGTCTCCTTTTCTCCCTGTTACTTTTACACTTGGATACAATTGTTACGTTGCATGACTTTGATATTCCATAAATCTAATTATTAATATTAATAAATATCTTTATTGCATATTAATAAATAATAATATCTTTCTATTCATTATTTTGCTATATTGGTCCATTGAAAATCTCTTAATTGTTTCTCTTTCTGCTCTTAATCTAATTTTCCAGCCACGAATGGTCCATTACAAAGCTACTATCTGCTCGCTTCTTGTGGTAACGACGATTTAGTTAAATTGTGGCGTGTTAAGGGTGGATCAAAATGTTCAATTGTCCTTTACCACAGTCTTTCAGGTCACAGTGGTAACGTTTATTGTTGTCGTTTTTCAAACGATGGTACACTTCTTGCATCAGCGTATGTGCTTTAAATATATATATAAATTAGCAGTTAAAATCGTTACAATCAAAACAAAATCATAGCCCATTGATTTCAATTACTTGATCAATCGTAATATTTTTCGTTTGATTTTAATGATGAATGTCTGGAAACCATTAGATATTGATTAGCGATTAGATATTAATTTTTTTCTTCTTGTTTGTTTCTTTGATTGTAATATTTTCTAGTGCTGGAGACAAAACGATAATCATTTGGTCTATTGAGTCTGGGACTATAATTCGTCGTCTTGAAGGTCACAATCGATATGTAACTTGTTGTGCTTTTTCTGCTAATAATAGTCTCTTGGCAACTGGATCAAATGATAAAACTGTAATCATTTGGAATCTGAGTGCTTATCTTGATACTCCATCCACCGATGATAATGATGAATCTCCTGAAACAACTTATCCCAATCGTATAAGAGGTGCTTCTTTCAGTTTAGGTACCAATGCCAACCTGGTTTCTCGTTGGTCAGTTGAACAAGTCAACCAGTGGCTTGAAACGCTCAATCTATCTCAGTATAGTGAAGTTTTTAAGACTAACGAAATTGACGGAACTGAACTTCTTCACCTTTCGCATGATGTCCTGTTGACAATGTTGAAAATTAGTTGAGTAAACGATCACATTTGACACTTAATGTTCATCAAATAATTAATTTTATTTCTGGTTTGTTTTTCCCTACAGCAACTTTGGGTCATCGAAATAAAATCTTGCGAGGAGTCCAAGCCTTACGAAATCCTTTATGGCAACACTTTGCAAATGAAGACGATATATCAATGCCTGATGAATTATTCTGTCCAATAACTCATGAACTAATGAAAGATCCTGTTGTAGCTTCAGGTAAATTTTCAATGAAAAACTCAAATCAAATTTAACTCACGATATTTCTTGATTATTGATTTAGATGGTTACACTTATGAAAGAACCGCGATCACTGAATGGGTGGAAAATGGTAACAATACAAGTCCAATGACCAATGATCCTTTCACTGATGACCGTTTGATTCCTAATCGGACTTTAAAACTTTTGGCCAAAAGATATCAATTACCTTGAGTGTTTAATTGTCTCCAATCAGCTGATTGAAAAAATGTTTAATTTTTAAAACATTACAATCCCTTTATCAACAAATCAACACGCGAATAACTATTTTAAAATTTTAATTAACCGTTTTAAATATCTCTAAGAGCCGCAATATAACAAGATCTGTGATCAATTGTATCAATTTTAAATTAACTAACCCACAAAAGACACAGTCAAAGTCCAACTACAATTACCAATCATGCTTCAAAAATGCCATTAATTAAGGTTGAAAAATTATTTTCACAATTAATCCATTCCTTAAACTATTCATATCTTTCTCTGCTAATTGTTCCTACTAAACAATATAAAAACAAACCTATCAATTGTTAATCAAATTCATTAATAATTTAATTGTGCAATGTTTTTTTTTTTTGATGAAAACAATCATCAAATTAAAATAATATTTTATTTTAATTGTAAAAATTTATCTCTTTTTTTATCCATCAATTGAATATATTGATCAATGTATCTGAAGAAATTATCATAAATGGATATTGAAGGTTATCAGCATTAGATGACCTTCGAAGGTCGAATGGACATTTGGACACGAGGGTTCGAAAGTTTAATTGTTGAGCTGTAATTTATTTTTCCAATATTAATAGTAACAGTAATTGTAACAATTTTTTTCTCAAGAAAGTTAAATGATAAAAAAAAAGTTACCTAATGGTTATTGAATAAATTACTCATGTTAATTCAAATCATTTGAATATTTTGGGTTAATTGAATTCAGTTTAACTCCCACAATTGATTTAGATGGAGAAATAAGATCAAGAAGAAAAAAAATCCAGATCAATTTGGTTAAACGATCAACCAACAAAACCAAGTTTAATTGTTTCCATGGTTTAAATCACGATTGTGTCGAAATTGTTTTTCACGGAAATGACAACGATTCGAGTTGGAATTCATAACAATCCTCCGGGTTTTTATGTGACAAGTCCAAATACTCTTGGCGGTTTTTTGGCCCCGTTCGCAATGGAAACCGTAATGAACGTATTGAACAAAGTGAATATAACATTTGTCTCAATAAAAATGCCAATTCAACCGCTTGTTCAAGCGACGGACTTTGTACCACAACATTGGGTTACCTACAAAATGGTCTAGTTGATTTCGTTAGCCCGACATCTTATGCTCAACTTGAATCAATTGGAATCAATTTAACAACAACCACGTCCCTTTGGGAAGGTCAATGTTACCTTACATATAAGAAAAAGTTATCACCCAGTTTACACTATTCATCCTTTTCCGGTCTCATACTTTCGTTTGATCAATATTTCTGGTTAATATTATCATTTCTGCTTCCGGGTTTCTCTGTTATTTTATGTTCACTCATTAAACATCAACAACCTTCAATGGACATAATCGACATCTATTGGAACCTTTTTGGATACTTGTTAGGTCAAAATTACAATACAGTTTGGTCCATTTTAAATAGATTACCTCTCATCTTGATGATTTTACCTCTTATATTCAGCGGAAAACTTTTATCGAGCTCCCTCAAAACTGGCCTAGTATCTAATCAGGATTATGTTAAAATAGAGACTCTAAGTGATTTAATCAAGCACGATTATCAAGCAATTATACACGAGAATAGTAACTGCCGACACAAGCTTAAAGATGGAACTGACCTTTTATCCAGGCAAGTTGCCTCTCGATCAATAACTTACTCGTTGGTGGGAAAATCGATCAATGAAATTTATTCGTATTCTCGACAAGATAAAAAGGCTACAATCCTCTCGAAAGTTGCGTTCATTGCGTACAAAAGTATCGGTTGTCTTACTGCACGAAAAGAGGAAGAATCTGAACCTTATGAAATTTCAGAAAATTCATTGTTCAAAGACTCGACAGGTTACTTTATGAATACAAGATCGTCGCCAGAAATTCAAGCGATTATAATGAGACGGACTTATTCAGCTTATGAAGGTGTTCTAATCACAAATCGATATGTTCTCAAAAGTTTTCTCAATTGTTATGGCTTGTCCGATATTTCTACAGCTTGTACCGAAGGAAAAGTCGAAAATAAAGTTGTTTTCATTCCAATATCATCCATTTATCTGCAAACTCCTTTCATGATTCTGATTTTTGGCTATGCAATTGCACTAGTTATCGTTACAATTGAACGGATAATTGGAAACAATGATCAGTTGATAGAAATATACTTTTACTAGGTACGAACTAATTTCATCGACTACCAACAAATTCAGATAAAACTGGAGTAGAGGCAGTTTCTCATTCGTCTTGGGAATTGACCATCGAGGTAAAGTTCACAAACGTGTTCGCTATGGATTATCAACCGAAAAAGCAAACTAGTTAAAAGTTGCCTGATTCCCTAATTTATCTTTGCAAGAATTAAATTATTCAAGTGAATTGGAAACCAAAAAACATGGCTAACTAATGATTTTCCAGTTAAAATGCAAATTGAAAAACAAATGTCAAAGTTACTATCATTATGTGTATTGATTGACCACAAGAAAATGGTTATTATTAATCTAAAATTAAAATCACCATTTTTTAACAATTTGATTAATATTCAGATCATTTAAGTAACATTTATTTCAAGATATTCCCAGATCAAGAATTGAGAATTGAAAAATGTTATCAAATTCATTGTCGATAGTTCAGTTTAACAATCAAATCTTTTTCCAAGGAACAAAAAAATGAATGTAAAACTTTTGCTACCTTCACGGGCACCAGCCTATTCTGTTGATAATGCTACGAACTCGGTGATCGGTACTTTAGCTCCAGTTTTCCGTCGTCGATCACTTGACCTATTCTCTGATGTTAATATTACCTGGATCGATGTTGGTAAATCTCAATCAGGATGTCTCAATGGTTCCTGTTTTGGTGGAGCTCAGTATTTACAATCAGGTAAAGGGTCAGTTTATTTTTTGACCCAAGATTTAAATTTACTTGATTCTGTTTACCCCAATTTATCAATTGCTACAACATTGGTTGAAACCTCGTGTATATTTTTAACTCACTACGAATCTAATTTAAAGATCAGCCAACTTGATTGTTTAACCAATATGGCTGAGGTTGACCCTCTCTCAGCACTTTTATTGATGATACTTTTTACCTTTCTATTGAAAATGGTAAGAAAACTAAATGAGAACACTTTAAATTCAGTTAATTGCTATACAGAAATTTATTATCAAATGATTGCAATTGTTTTCAATGGTTTACTCCCAAGTGTCACCAAGTTTAGACAAAAATTTATCATTGGTTTTATTATTATCTCATTGTTGTCACTCCGAACCATTTACTCGGCTGGTTTTCATACTGACCTAACAGTGACCGATAAACATGAGCCAGTTACGAGTTTACAAGATATTTTAACGGTCAATTTAACCGCAATCATCGCCACACCTTCATCTTGTTATAAAACTCTGACGATTTCGGAATATCCTCATAAGAAACAGATTTTATCTTCGTTTGTTATCATGAAACATTTTCTTCGGTTTACTGAATTGATCCAAGGATTTGAATCAGACTTTGTTTACCTTGGACCTGATTGGGAATTGGATAAGGTAAAAGAAGACCTGTTAGTCTATCGGAAAAGTCAAAGTTCTTGTATCAAATATATGGAACCACGAATTTATGAGAAGACTTCAAACTTTGACAAATCAATTGGTGTAACAATAATCAATAATAATCTTGAAACGATGGTTAAAAATTTGATCACTCGACGATTATATTCTTGGCTTGAAAGTTACATTTACTTCAAAGCTTATGACAGATATTATCCAAGTAAATCTGAAAATTTCAAACGAAAATGTAAACTTGAGGTTGGTAAAAATTACGACCAAATTAAATTCACTCCATTAGTTCAACAAAACTATGGACTTTTACTGGTTCTTCTAATTGTTAGCCAATTTTTCGCATTAATTATCTTCATCATAGAATATGAAATCCCATTTCTCAAGTCAAAAGTTACAATTGTGAATAAAGTAAAATCCTAAAACAAATTATTAATATTTTATTTAATTCTCACGGATATTCAAATCGACCCAAAGCCATAACCTTTGACTGCCTATGCTCAATTCATTGTATTCGTCGTATCTTGGTGGGAATACTTTTTTTTCAATTCAATTTTCAAGATTCTTACATGTAATTAGAATTTACTAATTGCATTCAATCGATAGATTGAAAGCTCAAGGGAAACAGTGATTGTCCTTGAACTTGGGTTCGTTATAACTCATAAAAATTTCATGGTGAACATTTGAATCAATAGAAAGTTAATTGGATCGAAACTGAAGACTGAATTTGGTGAATCGGAAACAGTTCATTATGAATTTTCAGTAGAAACATATGAGGTTTCATTGCCAAACCTTGAGAATGAAATACATTAATGTGATATTTGTTAGTATATTAGTGATAGGATTTAATTATCACACGTAAGCCAACATGTACTATGATACTAATTAAGAAATTTAATTGAATTAAATTTATTAATGATTTAGCTGTTACAAAAGTTGTTGAGTTGAATTTTGTTGCAAAATCAAAACTATTTTTTTTTGTAATTTTATGCAAATGTCCAATCAGAATATTTGATTAATTTTCTTTTGTGATTAGAATGCTAATTAGTTAATCAAACTTTTCAAGTTTGAATTTACAATTGATTGACAATTCCAACCATAAACTACTCGATGGTCATCATTATTAAACTCGATCGATTCGAAGTAATTATGAAAATAAGCAGTTACACGTTATTGGATTCGTGAACGAAACTTTACTCCATTTTCAATTAAATTCTGGTCGATTTGAAATCTTAGTTTGAATTTCAATAATTATATAAAGTCATGGAACTTTCAACATTAATTCATCGACTTTCAATCACAGCTTGAGCTCGTATCTATAGCTACAATATACATCTATCAGTTTTGATACGTTTCAGTTATTTCATTTTCTCAGTAAACTGTGATTCAATTTGATTCAAAAGGAGTTAATCGACTAGATGACTAAGGTGAAAAAAATGTGCCCATTGATTGAACTTCGTTCGTTTCTTTGATGTTAAACATGATATCGATACGGGGTGGAACTTGGGAATATCCACCTTTTTGGTATATAAAAAGCCGAAATACGCTTGGTGGATCTTTGAGTCCATTTGCAACGGCCATTTTGTCTTCAATATTCAATGACCTACTAGCAAATTTTACTTTCATTCCTTCTGCAAGTCATATAACATCGTTATGTTTATCCAATCGCACATGTACTGGTGGACTTGCTGACCTTCAATCTGGAAGTATCGACTTTTTCATGCCAACTTCGTACAGAAACTTGATGAGTGTTGGTGTGAATTTAACCACGGCTTCAGTTTCAACGGAAGATGAATGTTATTTAGGTTACAAGAAGAAACTCAAAGTAAACGTGGATTATTCAACTTTTTTTGGTTTCTTATTTGTGTTCGAACCTTGGTTTTGCTTGACATTATCTCTTATATTTACCGGACTTTTGGTTCTTCTTGTCTTGATTATCAAACACCAAGAGCCTTCTAATTACTTTTCAGATATTTTTTGGTATCTTTTTGAGTACATCTTATCACAAAATTCATTTTCTACTGGTTCAAATCGATTGGTTTTGGCGTTCACAATATTGTCCTTATTTTTAGCAGGTAGATTATTATCGGGCTCATTGACCACTGGTCTTGTATCTAATATAAATTATCTTAAACTTAATAATCTCATGGACATTTTGAAATACGATT